GAAAATAGAGCCAAAGACAGTAAAGGATCCTATGGAACACTCAGATTGGGTTGTTGCTATGCAATCTGAACTAGCTGAATTTGAACGAAACAATGTTTGGAGATTAATTTCTAAACCTTCTGATGTTTCAATTGTCGGATTAAAATGGATTTTTAAATATAAAACCGACAAAGATGGCAATATTATTCGAAATAAAGCTAGACTAGTGGTTAAAGGTTATTCGCAACAAAAAGGAATAGACTATGAAGAAACATTTGCACCTGTTGCAAGACTTGAAGCAGTTCACATATTTTTAGCTTATGCAACTCACAAAGACTTTGATGTTTATCAAATGGATGTTAAGTGTGCATTCTTAAATGGAGAACTTGAAGAAACAGTGTATGTTGAACAACCACCAGGATTTATAAACAATGAACATCCTGATCATGTTTACATCCTAGATAAGGCTGTATATGGATTAAAACAAGCACCAAGAGCCTGGTACGCAACACTTACAAATTTCTTGAAACAATCTAAATTTAAACAAGGATCAGTTGACCCCACATTATTTCACAAGAAAGTTGGATGTCATCTAATGCTTGTTCAAATTTATGTTGATGATATTATTTTTAGCTCAACTGATCCAGCATTGTCAATTGAATTTGAAAATCTAATGAAAAGTCAGTTTGAAATGAGCATGATGGGGAAAATTAATAATTTTCTTGGTTTACATATAAGACAGAACAGGGATGGAATCTTAATTAATCAAGAAAAGTATACGAAGAACTTGCTTGAAAAGTTTGGAATGACTAATAGCACGAAACTAAGAGTACCAATGGTAGTAGGAACAAGACTAACTCCTTCGTTAGATGCTCCAGCTGTTGATTTAACACTTTATCGAAGCATGATAGGGTCTTTATTGTACTTAACTGCAAGTAGACCCGATATTATGTTTTCGGTTTGCAATTGTGCTAGATATCAAGCTAATCCCAGAGAACCTCATTTGACTGCAGTAAAAAATATTTTTTGCTATCTTAAGGGAACAGTTTCGTTAGGACTTTGGTATCCTTCAAAAACGGGGTTTTTCATTCAAGCTTTTTTAGATTCTGATCTAGGAGGATGTACTTTGGATAGGAAAAGTACGAGTGGTGGATGTCAACTATTGGATGGAAAGTTAGTGATTTGGCAATCAAAGAAACAAACTTGTGTGGCTATATCAACTACTGAGGCTGAATACATTGCTGCTGCTGCTTGCACTTCGCAAATTATTTGGATTCAGAGTCAACTTCGTGACTATGCAATAAACATGAAAAAGATTCCTTTGTATTGTGATTCGCAAAGTGCAATTCGCATTTGTCATAATCCAGTACAACATTCAAAGACAAAACACATTGCTCTTCGATATCATTTTATCAAAGATCATGTGGAAGATGGGAATATTGAAATTCATTTTGTTAAAACAACTGAACAACTTGTTGATATTTTTACAAAACCTCTTGATGAAAAATCATTTGTTAGAATTTTAGCAGGTTTGGGGATGATTGATGCGAATTCAATTTCAAAAACTCAAGAATGAAAGTCTTGTTCAGCAGTTATGAGTCAAACTTGTTCAGATGTTACTGTTCATCCAGAGGATTCGCATGGCTCCGCATCTACATCTTTTCGCATTTGTGATCATAACAACTAAAGGTTAGGTTTACGATTCATTTTGTAGTTTTTAACTTTTGAAAAATCAAAAATCCAAAAAGATTTTATGTTTATTCATTTTTGTTTTTGAAAAATTAAAAATCCAAAAAGATTTTGTTTGGTTAAGTTTTATTTTGAAAAATTCAAAAATCACAAAAATATTTTTATTTTCTCTATTCTTTAAACATTGTGTACTAAGAATTTAGTACAGGGCTTAATGCGAATAAGTCATACTTAGATGTTTCTACGGGAAGATATTAATTTTTTTTTAATAACTAATTAGGATGTCCCTAGAAGCATGCTGTTGTATGTAGACCAAAAGCCTCAACAAGACTCTATGTGTGAAAAGAAAGCCTTAATGAAATGATCACATGAAAATTTCTTCCACTACAAGAAAAAGGCCCTTTTACGACGTGCAAACCACGACACTCGTTGTTTTATGTTACGCAAAAGAGAGTGACATTAAAAATGTGTCATCTCTTTAAAAAAATTTAGGATTTAGATCACGCATTATTGCGTGCCGTTAAATTAATGTCTCATGTAAAAAAATTAAAAACACGGAGGGCACTTTATAAAAAATGTGCGCCCTCTATGAATGTCGCTTTATATTTTTTTTTTAAGGAACGCGCGTCTCTCTTCTCTTCTAAGAGGGAAAATGAAATCCCAAAAAATTTTGAACCCCGCTTTTTCTCCTACATTCGTATCGATCTATTCTCTAACATCTATCTTATCTCCTTTGTCTCCGCCCCTCACCCACCTCCACTACCTCCAACCCACATCGACTCTTTAAGTCTGCACAACGTAAGCTAGGGCTTTTTTTGATCGGAGGTTATGGTGAGGAGGAATTTGGGGAAAACAACGAGGATGAGGAGGAGGAAAAAGGTTAATTATCTGATTTCATTCCTGTTGGTGTTGATTTTCTCATTGATGTTCGACGTCTTCTCCGGTGGTGATGGTCGTCGGACACGTTACGGTTTTGTTGAAGGCGTCGTTGGAAAAAGCGATGGAGGTTCTGGTGCGATTTTCTAGATTACCGGTGGCGGTATTGGTGCTAGTGGTGGCTCTGGCTCCCAATCTATTAGTCATCATGGATTCATTTGCGATCAGTTCTATTAGTCGTTGCTTCCTCATCATCATCCTCACCAATTTCTAGGTCAGTTCCCTCATTCCTCTTTCCTCCCCTTTCCAGATCTCGATCTCCAACTACTATCTTTTACTCCAAAAAAATGCACTGATCTCTTATTTCTCTACTTGCTTAGCCAATCTGTTCTAGGTTTTTTACTTCTGTATTCAAGACACCTACCTTTCACCCGATATTGTATTCCTCTTTTTTTTCCTTCAAGTTTCCAAGGGAAGAACCCCGATTTTACAAGCCCAAGGTGTGATTACACTAAGGTATGTAAAGGATGCTTCTACCCTGCCTTATTTCTTCAGTCGTTCAACAAATAACAGGGCATGCAATTTCTCATTCATATCTCGACTTCATCTTCTCTATCAAGAAAAAGGCTTATGATTTTTCCCTTACATCTTATAGCTATTGGCTTAGAACTAGCTGCTATTTGGGAAGCTATCTATCAAGCACACGTTTGAGTTTGTATTCACACCATTTGATGATGCTAGTAACCCTATCATAGCTCAGGTAAAGATGTTTAAATTAAATCCAGTTATCTTAATTCTTAACATTAAAGAATCACATAATCATAATCATACTAAAAACCCCTTTAATTTAGTGTTTACAATTTTAATTTGACTTTTTGGATTTAAATTTTTTTAGGCAGCTTTCAACGTAGTATATATTTTAGCACTATAACTTTTTATATATATGTTATTTTTTTTCAGGTGTAGACATTGTAAAAAGCTTCCACCTGAATGGAAGAAGGCTGCAAAGAATTTACAAGGAAAGGTGAAGCTTGGATATGTGAACTATGATGACGAAAAGGTATTCTTGAATTTCTATTCTTTTTATCTAAAACAATATTATTATTTTTTATTATTACCAACTGATTATGTTTTTTTTTCTTTCAGTCTTTAATGAGCAGGTTTAAGGTACAAGGGTTCCCAACTATATTAGTATTTGGTGCATATAAAGAGAGTCCAGTCATTTGCCCTTGTTGAACTAGAAACAAATGTTGCTCCTCTTGAAGTGATCGAGTTGACTAGCTCATTGAGTTTTCCGAATCCCTTTTATAATTTTTCAGGATTTCCCTTTTTGCCCCTGGTAAAATCATGAATTTTCCATTTTAGGATGTGATGGAAGAGAAACGTGGTTCAGCTACCATCTGTTTTGTTTCCTTCCTCCCTGATATTTTGGACTCTAAGGCTGAGGGAAGGAATAAGTATATAGAGATTCTTCTATCAGTTGCTGAAAAGTTCAAAAGGAGTCCTTACAGGTATAAAAATTTGATTATAGCATTTTACTTATATAAAAATACGAGTAAATTACAAATTTGGTCCCTATGTGGCTATGCTTCACTCAAAATCTCAATTGTTCCTAGATACAGGAAACACTTCAAGCTTCTCCCCTTTGGAGTTCAACCAAAATTAACATATGATGAGATGAAAATTCTTAGAAGACTTGGAAGGCCTTTACCATGTCATTTTTCTTTAGGTTAGTCACTCTCACTCCAAATTCTAGTTCTATATGTTAGCGAACCTGATACATATGCCCTAAATCTACATTCAATCGATGAATTTCCGTCTCAAATCTTGGTTTCCTCCTTTCATTTGGCTGTTTCTTATCATCCTCTTATTTAAACACACATTTTTATAACTTCCCCCATTGTTCATTTGATAGAGCTTAATCAGAGGCATTAAACAGGTATGCCTTAATGTCTTCTGGCTTCTTCTGACGATTTTCTCTTTTTCTGTAGTTAAATTGCTGGATATGCTTCACTTTTTATCATGAACTAAGTTCAATTTAATTTGAAGAATGTAAGGACCTGATGATTGCTTTCTTCTGAAATGTGATTGAGTAGACTGAATGTGTTGCCCCCAAACAATTTACTTAACATTACTTTTAATTACATATTCACTGTTTTTGCTGTTTGTTCCTCATATAAGATAACAACTTATCTACTACTACAGATGATTGTATTATTCGTCCAACTAAATGGGCTTTCATCACCAGGGGCTGGTTATGAAAAGTTTCTTCTCCAAATAGTTATTCTTATTCAATATGTTCCCAGATTATACCGATTCCTGCCTCTTCTTGCTGGACAATCTTCAAGTGGATTTATATCTGATGGGGGCAAGGAAGGAATTTTAGCAGTGGAACTTATTCCATTTGATGGAGGAGATGCCTGAGGAGGGGCATTTTTAGGGGCATTTTCGGAAATATGAAGTTTTTCCCATATATCAGAACTGTTAGTCTTCCAAAAATTCATAGAGGTACTTCCCTCATTTTACCTGTGTATGTGTTGCTATGCCCCTCATTTGAGCCCGACTACTTTGTAGGTTGGCTATTTGTTGTCTAAGCCTGATCAATTGGCGTGCTAAAATCTTTGTTGTTGCGTGATCAAACCACATGTTACTACTATGAGTTGTAGTTATCTAACCTTATTTATTTACAGGATGTACACCATGGAAATGGAACTCAAGAAATATTTGAGCAGAACAAAACAGTAATTTTATTTTTATTTTTTTTATTCGTGCAATAATTGATACTACTTTCTTCAACTTGTTAATGATATTATTATTATATGGTTAACTCCATATTCTGTATTTTTTTTTGGTTTAACCACATAAATAATTTTTTTCTTGGTTAACCACAAAGAGTTTGTGATATTTAAAAAAAAACATAAACACTATAAGTGTTTCCTGGTAATAAATTGCAGGAGGCCATGTAAAATTAACTATCATTCATTCTCCTATAAAAAAATGAAACTCAACATAAATATAAAACAATATAGTTGATTAATTTATTTTAAATCATAAATAACATTGTAGATTACTATCTGACTATTTCTGATGATACTTGTTTTAATTGTTATAGGTGTTGTATATATCCTTACATAGACATGAAGGTGGAAAATTCTACCCTGGTACAGGCGCTGCCCATGAGGTAAACATAACCCTAATTTTTTTTCTCTCTCATTTTTTACATCGAGAAGGGTAAAATGGTCATTTCACTCTTATATATGTTATCAGGTGGGGTCCATGGGTGGAGAAGGGTATTGTGTAAATGTTCCATGGAGTCGTGGAGGAGTTGGGGACCATAGTCATAGGATTCGCCAAAGTAGTCACGATCCACGTTCCAAACGGCTCGATCCCAAACGGGGTACGATTGCGTATCGATCGCCAACAGAAACGCCCTCCGGTACGTCATGCTTGCGATCCCACCAATTCTTTAAATCGATACCTGAAACGTGAAATTGGCAAATTGAAGCAAATGCAGGGTTTCTTCTAAGATGAGGGTGAATGCATCAGGTATGCCACCTTTGTTTTCCCTTTGTCATGTTTGAATTGTTTGGAATTAGTTATGTTATGTCAATGTATGCTTTATGTTATGTCAATATATATATATATATATATATATATATATATATATATATATATGTAAATGACATGTATACATACTCCTGAAATTTCCTATATTTGGCTGAAAACATGCAGACAAACAAATTTGACATATTAGTGCCTTGCAGCCTCTCAAAGTTCTTGCATTCAGGTTATTCTTTTAGAAAGAAAATTGTCAAAGGTGATTGTCAAAGGAGAATTTATTCAAGGGTTTCTTTTCATGTTGTACATGTTTTGTTTTCAATAATAAATATTATGCAATATTAGCAATGTGTTACATTTACTTACTATTGGAATGATTATTTATATATGACATTAAATTTTATGAAATGGATTATATTTTTTGTATATGATATTTTATTTTCTATTATGAGGCATTAAATTCAAATTTAATTTGAAAATTAGTAAATCTATTAAAAATATTTTTTTTAAACATTTAAAATTATGATACGCAAAAATGTGTGTCATCTTCATTTATGACATGGCCTTTCTTGACAGGGGCTTTCTTGATACGCATTGCGTGTCATTAACACGCGCGTCGTAAGGTTACGACATGCGAATGCGTGTCGTCTTCCTTTATGACAGGGCCTTCCTTGATACGCATTGTGTGTCGTAAACGCGCGTCGTAAATGCGCGCCGTCTCTCTTTATGACAGGGCCTTCCTTGACGCGCATTTGCGCGTCGTCTGAGCGTTTTACGACGCGCAATGAGCGTCGTAAAAGGCCTTTTTTCTAGTAGTGTTCCCAAAAAGGCTTATATTCGCATAAGTCAAAAGAGTTACCTTACTCTTCTCAAATGAGTTAAGAGTTTTCTGTTTTGTCCATTATAACAGAGGTACACTTCGATTCTTATCCAATCTTTTTATACCAAACAATTCTTTCAATCCAAAATTTTTGAAGAGATTTGTCCTTGAGGTCTTTGATCAAACCATTCAAAACTTAGACAAATCACAAGTCTGTGTTTAAGATCTAACATCATGAGTCCGTGATGGAAGTAAAACCCAAACATCATAAACCTTAAGGAATTGACGGGGGACTTTGTTCCAGATTTTTACGAAACCTTTGTTTCAGTATCAAAAATTTCGAAACTCCAAATCATATTCAATTCGCATGTGTGGTCTTGATCAAATATTCGCAACCAATAATATTTGTTACCCAACAAGATCCAGAACAAATTTTTCTTTTGAATATGATTTCAGTGTGAGTTTTATTCGCAAATCCTAGTCATGATAAATATTTTCAAAAACCAACTTGTCACTGACTACACTGGTTAAACAAGTAATTTCATTTACAATTTCTCACCTTATGTTAAGGTTGATATGTAATGAAATTTAAAACCAATCCAAAATGTCTTTTAAAAGAAGCCCTTCGATACTTCTCTATAAGTATTCGATTGTAATTCACGGGAAACTACACAAGCTGTTGTTTATCTCTCTCGATGATTAACGAAGCAACCTTTGCCTGGGGTTTAACTGCATTCATGTCAAATTCAATTTTTGACATCACAGAATTCCAAATTTTTTTTGTTTCTCATCTTATTCTGTTGACACAATGCACACTCGAAATCCTTGAGGTTTTGAGTAAAACTAACTCAGACTGATGATTTCGCAAATCTGGCATATGACTTCACTTAATATCCTAAAAGTGAAAGAGCCTTGACTCCATGCGAAGGGTTTTAACGGTTCAGATTCTATAATGGGAAACTTGACAGGCTGTGTACTCAAGATGGTTGGTATTCTATCCGGTTTTCAAGGAGATGTGACAATTACTTTTTGAAGCATGGTTATCTTTTGCAGTTATGATCCGATTTTCAAGGTGCCACGTCGGATAACATTAAATGCATCCCGCTTTAATTTCAAATTAATTTAGGTAACCTATAAAAGGGGGATCAAGAACACTATATACGGTTACGCAAACAGAACTCTCACAAACCTCCAAAGTTTCAAACTTGATCAAACCTCATCTCTTTCAAACCCTAACAATGGCAGCCACTCAATCCAACACTGATGAAGTTCTTTCTCAATCCCTGATGAAAATCCAAAGCACCAATTATCAAGTTGATCCAAATGTATCTTCTTATCCTGAAGGCTTGAAGATGCTTATCGTTTCCCTGAAATGATCACCTCTGTCCACTGCCATGTTTAGTTCCTTCTTCGTTCCGATGATATGGTTATCCTTGGCAGCTTCAACGGCATCATACAATCATACAGTTGATGTGATAACATTCAACTTGATCAACAACAAACGGGCCAAACTTTCCAAGAAGATGTTTGTTGAATTCTTGCAGATTCCAAACAACCCTCCATTTTTCAAACCTGTTAATCCTCAAGTCATTCACATGTTCAATGAGATGGGTCATCAACCAGAGCTTGAGAAGATCAGTGCCTTTCGAAAGTCTGGGTTACCGTGCATGTGGAACTTCTTATTTGGAATTTTTCTCAGATGCCTAACAGGAAGAACAGTTGGATTGGATAGAGGACAAATGGAAGTATATGCCATGGTTATGGGCATATACTATGACATAAACGTCGATTATGCAACCCAGTTATGGAAGGAATTTGTTAAGAGTCTCGAAAACACAAATTCTGAAAAAGGGATTTCGTGTGCAAGGTATTGGAGCTTAATTCTGGAGAAAGTATATGAAAGAGAAGGGATTCAAGTAACGGAGGATGTTGAAGTTGCTGAATTTTCTTTATATCAGTTTCCAAAGGTAGTAGAAGATGATGAGGCTATTTTTACTCATGTAGCTCGCATTCCAGATGCGATGCTTCGCAAGGTATCTCAAACTCACAAGGTCTTGGTGAGATATTTGCGAACAATTGATCAATTTGTGCAGACTGGAGTATTATTAGAAGTTGCTACTCCGTCAAAGAAGAAGAAGTCCACAAAGAAGGATGCGAAAGGTTCATCTTCACAACAAGCTCAAAATGAAGATGTTCAGATTGAAGAAACTTCATCTAAATCAAAGCAAGAAATAATACCTTCCAAGTCTGGGGTATTGAAGAAAATTTGCAAGGCTGAGGTGAGCAGTAAAGGAGTTACTATTCGTAGTATTCCAGCTCCGGTTTCTCCAGGAAAGAAAAGGCAAAGAGCTGAACATGTTGCGAAAAACATGCAACATACTCTCACAAAAAGACGGAAACTGGTGATTCGAAATGAATCATCTGATGAATAAATAGTTCCAGAAACTCCACCAGTGACGTCTACGGTAAATCTTTCATTACCCATTATCCCAACTTCGCAAATTTCTACCACAATACCACTCACCGAATCACTCGAAATAGTCACTACCAAATCAATTTCTGAGGAGGTACCTATTTCTCATACGGTTGTCAACGTATCTGATACTGGGGCACCTATCTCGGGTGTTGAAACCACAATCCCAATCACCTTACCCATTTCTTTACCAATTGTTTCAATCCCATCTACAATTCTATCCACTACCTCATCAATTTTTGATCATCCTCTTCAAAACCCATTTACAACACTTTTTCCATCACAATCACCAGAAAATCCTCAACCTTCGCAACCTTTATCTGATAATGAAGCTGAAGGAGGAGCCTTTGGAGGGGTATTTGAAGACATTCATTTTGATTCAGAGGAGGAGGATATTCCTGATCATATGCTTATGACAGGAAAACAATTTAAAATCCTGAATCATAAGTTGAATGTTATTATTCAGTCGCAAGTTGATTCTGGCAGGATGTCTTCTATCTCAGCCATGGAAGTTGATGTAATGATCAAGGGTGCTGAGAAGCGTATAATGGAGAAGTTTGATCAATCTGATAAGAACAATGAGCTTTGAATTCAAGCTCAAGGGAGTAATTTTTCTTCAGTGGTCCAGGATTTGAAAACAGTTGCAAAAGAACGTCATGTTCTTTTTGTACAGGATGTGAAGAAAGTTTGGGAGGATGTCAACTATAAGCTTTAAGAGTTAAAAACTGAACTTGCGAAGGAGCTCTAGGATATTCATACTCACAATGTTGAAGTTCAAAAGCAGATTGAGGAGCTCTTTTCAAAAGTGCAAAAGTTTGTTGAGGTTCCTACCCTTCAAGTCAATAACGAACAAATAATAGAGAGGTTTGATCAGCTGATCATGTTGGTGACAGAGCTTAAAACGGTGGTTTCACAATCTTCACCTACACAAATTCTCATTCCTGACTTCTTGTCTCTAAAGATTAATACTTTAGAACAAGCAATTCACAAAGCTCTTGCTCCACTCGCCAATTTTACCTCTTTACTACCAAGGGGTGCCCCACCTGCTTTCACAGGGGTGCAAGGGGGAGAGAAAAGTTTAAGTAAAGAGGAGGATGCAAAGACAGTGGGAAAAGTTATATACCCAACTTAAAACTACTCTTCCCATGCTTACGAAGCAAATTTCCTCAACTACAATAACCACAAGACCGATTGCCAAAGGAATTGTTATTGGAGAAAAAGCAGGAGGCTCGAGTTCAAAACCTCAAACAGATATGGAGGGAAAAGGAAAAGGGATATTATACGAAAAATCAAAGGAGGAGAAGAAAGCTTAGGCTGAAGCAGAGATGGAAAGAATGAGGCAGATACAAAGCATCATGAGACAAAGGGCAAGTGATCCTCCCACGATGAACAAAGGAGATCCATCGAAGCTTTACTCTTACGAAACTATAGAGTCAAAAGTTGTGGGGAGGGAAATGTATGAATTCGAGAAGAAGCCAAAGAGAAGTTATGATATTGCGAATTCAGATAATTGCCAGCTACATTTTCCAATCAATGAAATGCTCTTCATCAATGCTCAGTACAAGATTAGTGAGAAGTTTGATAATCCTGATGAGTTTACACAAATGAAAATCAGATTTCATGCTGTTTTGGGGAAGAATCCAGATGAAGTTTGGTCTTTATTGAAGATCAAAAAGGTGCTAACAATCAAGAAAGATATATTGTTTGAAGACATGCTTCAAAATTTTCGTTATTTTGTTATCCAAGCAGACAACAAGCAATATGACTTCACTGTAGTAGATTTTCCTCTAATGAACTGCAACGATTTGATTCAAGTGGCTCTGATTTTGAAGCATATGGAAGAGAATAAGCTCAAAGGATATGAGACTGAAGTGTTCAAGATAGGCTTCGCACATGTTAAGACATACATCGACAATTACTTCGATTGTTTGGCTCTTACAGATGATGAATTGGCGAATGTGTTGGGAAGAGAAGTGAAAGTTCCTTGGGAAGAAAATTTATCCCAGTCAGCATTGTCGAAATATGTTGTTGGTGAAATATGCCTGAAACCTTTTGGTATGGTGTTTTCAGGAAGAGATACAAAGGGAAAACCTAAGAAATTTTTGTTTAAAGTCTCAGAGGTAGAAAGATATAATTCTTCGCAATATACACATTTTATTGTTCGTATGAACAATTGCAAGAAGAACAATGAAGGAGACAAGAAGGATCTCAAGAAGGTGATCTCATGGTATGGAGAAGTGCGAAAGACAATTCACTCAGCTGTTCAAAAGCTTATAAACTGAATAGCTTCGACTGTTTACAAAGGGGGAGATTGTAGAAGCAAAATTGTAAAAGTCGAATATTGTGTTTTGTATTGTTTCGCATTTTATGTTATTTTACTAAGTCATATTTGTGCGAAGTGTAATGTTTAGACTTAATATATTTTTTGTACACTCGTGTTCCCTATAAATAGGGACTGAGGTTAGAAGTAGAGGATAACTTTTGTTAACGCAAATATCCTTTCTGCTTATTCTGTAATCAGTCTTCATCAATGTGAGATCTGATTAATATTTACTCTTCGTGTTCTAACTCTTAGATTACTAAAATCATACTTTGTTTTCTTAAATCTCGATAACAATGCTTTTCATTATATACCGAAGGAATCATCTATTTAGGAGGATCATTGGATGGATTTGTGGTTGATGCAATTGAAAACAAATTAAGAAGAACAATAAAAGTTTAGTCCCTCAAAAGTTTCATTTTTTTCTCAAAACTGTTTAATGCATTATGTATGCATCATAGCTTGTTATAGTGTTGCAGTTAAGCTTTCTTGACATATTATATGGCAACTATTAGAACAGGAGAAGATGGAATTCCAAATGAAGAGATCGATGATATAGTTTACCCATGTAGAAACAAATATAAGTTTAATGTAAAAGAAGAGATCAATGATACAGTTTACCAAGTAGAAACACAATCTTGACCAGATTTTTCATTGAGGAGTTTTGTCAAGTAGTTGGTGTTCAAAACTTGAAAAGAACAAATAACAAAATCAATAAGATTTAAAAACACTAAAAACTGTGAAATTGAGAAATAAATGATGAAATCAACCTGCTCCTACACTCTTCCATGTGTTCCCTTGCCTTCCGTCTCCCCCCAAACCAAATTACATGATGGCAGTTGTGTTCGATGGTCACCCGTTGCAGCAACAACCATTGGCGATAAGAGCGCGCAAGACCTACACTTCATATAAGTTGATGCAATCGTCGACTGAGATAACACCCTGACATCATCTTCATGTCCTGATTGAGTTGATCGGCTTGGTATTGAAGTGAGAGAAGGCTGAGATCGATGTTCAATATGAATAATCCATTGGGTTATCCTACAAAAGTGAAAGAAGGCGGTGACCTAAATTCCTGAAGAAGTGTAATCGGATGTGAATAACATACCATTGAATTTAAGGCAAAGTAGAAGGGGTGAGACGTAAAGCAGGAAGAAAGAGAAGTGGTTGTGAGGAGAAATAGTGATATCTATTATGTGTATTGAACCGTATCAAAGTAGAAGAAGGTTCGAGGAGGGCTACCAGTGGATCGGCGAAGTTAACCCCAATTGAAACTAGTTGGTGTAAAACCATTGGACACCAGAGGCGGTAGAAAACATTTGGTGTAATATCGTTGGACCTAGTCTGACAAATGGAAAAACCACAAGGACCGACATCTAAAGTGGTAAGGATCTAGAGCATTCCGTAAAAAAAAAAGTGACAAAGCCAACTAAGAAGATAAGCCCAACAACTTCAATGAAAAATAAGGCCATTTTAATGTTCATAAGGGAACAGTTTTTATATATATATATATATATATATATATATATATATATATATATATATATATATATATATATATATATATATATATAAACTTTTTCTATAAAAAAATAGACCTTAATTTTTTTCATTAAAGAAAATAAAGTGAGTTTTTTCGAAGAAAAAAAAAATCGTCTTTTATATATCATCATTGATCTCTATGGAAAGGAGGAAGAAAAATCGTGAATAACAGTATATTCGTTTTTTTTTTTCGATAAAAAACATGGTTTAAAAAAATTAAACGAAAAAAAGTGGTATGTTTTTTTGTAAATTGTGGATTTTTTTGGTATAATCCGATGTGTGCGTCCAATATAAAAATATACATTTATTTCCTTGGTTGTTGATCGTTATGATTTTCGACGCTCACGATTGGTTCATTGGTTAATTGGTTAATTATGGTTCTCTATTGAACTTCTCTCTCTCTCTCTCTCTCTCTCTATATATATATATATATATATATATATATATATATATATATATATATATATATATATATATATATATATATATATATATATATATATATATATATATATACCCCCGACCAATTATTAAAATATTATATCCTCTTTTATTTATATAAAAAAATACTATCAACCAAATTCAATCTGTTTAATATTTATCAACAATATATCTTATGTGACGTATTTAAAATATATCAATATTATATGTTATTTGTATAAATTAAAAAATGATAAGTTTTAGTATAGTTTTTATATGTTTAAAATAAACCAAATATATGATATAATTGCACTTAAAACTAAAACCCCAAAACCCAATTACACACCTCCATGTGGTAATGTATAGTGCACAAACGATTGTAATGTTTGCTTGTCGGTTCATGTTCGCGTATAAATTATACGTATAAATCTTTGACTTCTTTTCCTTGTTTTTTTTATACACAATCGGTCGCAAGACGCACCGATCAACGTAGTGTAATAATAAAGTATTCTTTTAAACCTATAACTATATCAAAGGTATACGTATCAATCTATTCCTATTAACGTGAAAAATAATAAAATATTTGGTTTTGAGGAAGTGAAAAGGTACACTCAAGTGATAAGACATTGGAAACACTATTATATGGTACACAATTTATTCCTATTAATGTGAAAAATAATAAAAAATAAATAAATATTAATAATAATGGGTTTTGAGGAAGTGAAAAGATACACTCAAGTGATAAAACATTGGAAACAATTTTATATCGTACACAGCTACATTTTCCTTCATTCTCTAAAGCAAAAAGAAAAAAAAATATATGCTTGAATGATGAGCCTTCACCCAAAAAATTCGTACTTGTGGATAAGTTTTCGACTCAAAAATCAAGTTGGCAATATGGCAAGTGGATAAAATGGGAAGAGGATAATATGGTATTTTCATAGTACAAAATATTAGTGTTGTAAATGTTTTGAAATGATATTTTTTTTAAACAACAAATTTAATTTAAATCCTAAACTACATCTATTTTTACTTTATGTTCCAAACAACACTTTAACCTTCCACTTCAAAAGGGAAAAATAACATCTGATAGGACCAGAAACCCTTAATACTTCATAAGCTTAATAGATTATCTTAATATATAGATTTAGCATATAATCATTGGAACTGAATTCATTAAATAATTAAACATAAATTGAAATTTTATTTATATGAAATTTTTTTGCAATGCCTTCTAACATTCCTCGCGTAAAAGAACAAACAAATCAACAAATTTAATGAATACTAGCTAAATGTTTCCTTTTCTGTATATACATAGTTGATATTGGCGTTCTAGATTTAGTAAACGCCGTTAAAAGTTCTTTAACTGACGATGCAACCAGACGAAAAGTTTATATTAGGATAAGGTGATAACGGCGGCACCTCAAAGATCCCCTTTCCGTTACCCTCCCCAAAATCCCAAACGGCCGTCCAACATGACGGAGTTAACGGCCCCACACCAGCGTCCGTCTTAACGGCGACGGGTTCTTCCGTTACCGGCTCAACTTTCGGTACCTTTCGGCTTTCCATATCCACCGTTTCTGTCTCTTTGACAACTCTTTTCCGGCAGCTACTCCTCGCTGCCGGCGCCTCCGCCGCTTCCTCTTCATACCCAATATCCAGTGGGAAATTCAAAATAGCCTTACTACCACGAAGTTTAAACGCCGCTCTATCATACGCCTTCGCGGCGTCGATGGCGGTGTCAAACGTTCCTAGCCATACCCTGGTTCCTTTCTTGTTGGGGTCACGAATCTCTGCCGCAAATTTCCCCCATGGTCGTTGCCTCACTCCTCTGTAATGTCTCTTCTCGTCGACATCGTCCACTTTCACCGGCGCCACCACCGGCGGAGGAAACGGAATGGAAAGCTTTTGTAAAGACGGTTTTCTTTCTTTTAAGCTGTTGTTGTTACCATTACTCACACCACTTTCGATGGAAACAGACTTGTTAACACGAAGGCTATCAAGAGAAGAGGATTGGGAAGAAGACGAATGAGTGGGAGAAACGTTGTGTGATTTGTGGGAAAGAGAGTATTTCTGAAGGAAAGATAAGTCGTCGATTAGAAGGTGTTGACGGATGAGATCTAGAGTTGAAGATTCATGAGGGGAAGCCATTGTTGCAGATGCTAGAGGTAGGAGTGTTGGGAAGTGATGAAATTGAAGTGGAAAATAAGGTGTTATGAAAGGAGAGTTATATAAGTGATGAATGAATGCTTGAAATTTTGGATGAACGGGGGAGGGAGGTTCGTGGATAGAGAAGGGAAGTATCCATAAAAACAATTAAATAATATACGACAAACTTTCAAAAATATTACTGTGGACCGGTTTTGAGCAAAACTTTTAAGATGTGATCCTACAAAAATATTGGTTCATCCATATCCTTTTCTATCGAAATATTAAAGAATTACATGTTTGGATATTAAAAATTAGGGTTAACCGTTTAGAAAAGTAATAAGATATTAATTCTTTAGATTTTATGTATTACATCAATATAGTTATTATAACTGTTTAAAAAATGTAATAAAATTTTATTTTGGCTTATATTAGGTTCCTAAGATTTTTTTTAGATATTATACCAATATGGTTGTCATAACTGTTTAAAAATGAATAATAAAGTTTTAATTTTGTCCACACTGGTCCTTATTTTTAATATTTTTATCTTTTCATCTAACTCTTTTAAAAGTTATATTTGTATCTAGTTAGATATCTTTATCATTTCATCTTCCTATTTTAATCGCACATTCACCACAACCACAGTTTCAATTGAAATGTTACAAAACAATTTTGTCATTTTTACAAAATAATAATAATTATTATCAAAACCTTAATGATTAAGATTATGTTTGTGCACCACGGCTAGCTGATAAACTAGTTTATTTTTATATCTTTTTTAAGTTGTCATGCTTGGTAAGCCAAAAAATCAATTAAAAACTAACGTTTTAAAAAACTACTTAAACAAAATAATAATAATAATAATAATAATAATAATAATAATAATAATAATAATAATAATAATAATAATCAAACCCTTAATGATTAAGGTTATGTTTGTGCACCACAGCTAGCTGATAAACTAGTTTTTTTTATATCTTTTTTAAGTTGTCATGCTTGGTAAGCTAAAAAGTCGATTATAAGCTAACATTTTAAAAAACTACTTAAACAAAAAAAATTAATTTCCAAAATATACCCATAATTAATTAAAAAAACATATTTTTTAAAGGTCTTTTTATGTCATTATATAAATTTCAAATAGTTTATATGCTAGTGGCGAAGCCATAGTCAAAGTAAAAGAGTATCCCCGACAAGTAATGTGGTATCCACCATAAAAAGATCATTTATCCAGATTGCAGTCTACAAAGCTCTTATGCAGGTGATGATTTGATATCACGATGGAATTGTGTTACTCCCCCTGAACTTCAGAACCAGAGATATCTATGTTTTCTTTGATCCGAAAGTCAAAGAAGTCAGCATCGTCGTCGTCGTTGGTCGAAATAGGGTCAAATTCAGCAAATTGATTCGCTGCATCTTGGAATCCATCAACATTTGATTCAAGAGAGGAAGAACCATTCTCCCCCTCAACCTAAGAAGGTTGAAAAAGATCGGAATCAGATGGAGGAAAGGAAGGGGTTAGGCCAGAAACATTTTGAGAAACTTGAGTTGAGGTGGAGGACGGTCTTGATCAAGATTCCAAATCAAGAACGGTTTCTGATGGTCCGCAAAAGGGTTTCAAAATCAACCTGATGACTGACTTGAGTATTCAGACATCCTGGCGCTGGTGCATCGGACTCCATGATGTGAGTGGTGACATGAGTTTGGCTAGAATTCTGAACATAATTATCATCAAAGGTGACATCAAAACTTTCTTCAAGAACACGAGTCCGGCGATTCATGACTCGGTAAGCTTTTGACTTCACTGAGTATCCAAGGAAAATTGTTTCATCTGCTTTGGGCTGAAATTTTGTGAGCTGATCACGATTGTTCTTGACAAAGCACCGACAGCCAAAGACATGTGAAAAAGAGATACTCGGCTTACAACCATTCATTGCTTCATACGGTGCCATATTGAGGTGTCAATTGACGATGCTTGGATTCTGAGTGAAGCAAGCAGTGGACACGACTTCAGCCTACAGATAAAGTAGTAGATTTGCAAAATTTAGCATTGATCGAGCAACTTCAACTTGTGTTCTGTTACGTCTTTTGACTACACTAGTTTGTTGTGGAGTGTGGGGAGCTGAGAAATCGTGGTCAATTCCTTTCTCGGAGAGGAATTTCTCAATGATGAGATTAGTAAACTCTGAACCATTATCACTTCGGATTCGTCGCACTGGCAGTTTCACAAGAACTTCAATTCATTTAGTAAAGGTGATGAGTTTTGAGGCTGCTTTTGACTTGATCCTATGGAAGAAGACCCAAGTGAACCTTGTAAAATCATCCACAATCACAAGAATATACTTTTTGTGATGCAGACTTTCTATAATGGAAGGTCCACACAGATCTATATGAAGCAGCTCTAACGGTTCCGAGATTGATTTTTTGATGATGACAGGATGACCTTTCTTTGATTGCATCCCATATTCACAAGCAGCACATAAATGATCATTTTCAAACTTGAGGAGAGGCAGAGCTCGGACCATTTCTCCGGAAACAAGATCATTCATATATCGAAAGTTTAAGTGAGAAGACCTCCAATGCCATAACCAACTTACGTCAGGAACGACTTTTAAGAGTTAACAAAGTTGAGGTTTGCCAATGATCATGTTGATGTCTAGAGGGTACATATTGTTGTTACGATTCGATTTGATTAGACATTCTTTCTGGTCTTCTGTCATGATGTAGCTATGTTTCATGTGGAAATCAACTTGACAATTGCATCAGTAAGTTGAGACACACTGATTAGGTTATGCTTCAGCTCATCTACGTATGCAATGTTTGAGACAAAAAAAAAATTCCACTAGTGAGGACGCCATAAACTTGGATCTGATATTTGGAGTTGTTGCCATATGTCAGGTATCCAACATTTGGTGAGAGTTTAAGATCACACAGAAAATCTTTCTACCCCGTTAGGTGCATGGAACAAGTGTTATCAATATACCATATTGTATCTTGTTCTGAAGCACAGAGTGCCTGCAAAAATGAGTGAATTTTGGAGTTTTAAGGCTCCAAGTTAGGTTTTGGGACATGGACACAGGCTTTAGCCTTTTGTTGTGACTTTTCAGCAACAGATGTCTTAGAGTACTTGTTCCGAGATCCTTTTGGAAAGAAACAAAAAGCCATGGTTTTGTCATTGATCCAAAAATCATATTCAACAACAGGTTGTTTCGGAACAACTTTTCTTGGACTAGAAACTTTCGGAGCTATAGGAATCATAGTGTTACTTTGAGTTACAATTTCCTTTTTGTCATTTTTAACTTTCCACTCAAATTTTTGTTTCGAATAATTTGAAGTGTAATAGTCTGAAATCCAGGCACCCTTTTATTTAGCCCTTCATCTTTAATTATGTTGTCATTTAAGGGCTTTTGTGTTGGGCGAGTACGCTGGGCGTACAAGGAGTACGCTGCGCGTACTCGCGCGTTTCATTTAAATGCATCCTTCCTCGGGTACGTTGGGCGTACCCAAGGTTACGCTGGGCGTAACTAGTCCAGACCCAAACACCCTAATTTTTGTAATTGGTTATAAAAGGAATGTGATGGCCTGGTTCCTCAGCCACCATCCCTCAGAAAGAAACCCTAAGAGAGTGTCCCTTCGTTCCTAGCTTATTTGTAAGTGTTCTAAGCTTGGTGGTGTCATTTCAAGGTATCAAAGGAGAAGAGGAGTCCATTGTGAAGGCTAGAAGTTGGTGTTCAAGTGTAGATCCGTGCTTAGCAAAGGTTGGAGCTTCATTCTAAGGTAAAAAGTTCGGATCTTGACTTGTAGTTCTTGTGGTATGCTTTATGGACCATTTTCTAGTGTTTTGGTCCCAAAGGTGGAGACTTTATGAGCAAGTGGTCTCCATTAGCTTAGATCCATCATATTTCTGGTCCATTTGAGTTGTAGATTCATAAAAATGTAATCTTGGACGTGAATGATTAACCATGCATGAGATCTAGATCCTTGAGTGGGAAATGGAAAGGTGTTAAGGAGTGTAGGGGCCTTTACAGCCATGCCAAGGCTTAAAGGTTTCGACTTTATGAGTAAGGAGGCTTAAATAAAGCCGGATCTGGAAGTTGAAGAAGTGGCTTAACTGATTAAGACCAGAAATGAAGAGTGGCTAGATCTGACTATTACGCTGGGCGTAACTCCCAGTACGCACAGCGTACTGGGTGGAGACCCCGACTTTTGGGTTGGCGATGTACGCCCTGCGTACATCGGTCTGTACGCCCTGCATACTGAAGATGTTGACTTTTTTTTGACTTTTAGGGTTTTGGTCAACATGTGGACCTTGAGTCAAGGAAGGGTAAAATGGTATTTTACCCCTCTTAGGAATGTTAATAAGGGGTAAAGTCTAGTTGTGGAAGTCTATATTAATTAAAATGATATTCGTTATGATTAGGCGAGGTTGAGTCTTCGTTTGGGATTCGGAGATAGCGAGCACGTGAGATTCTAGACTTTCCACGAGGTGAGTTTTCTCACTATACTGTACCCGGAAGGGTTTTATTGTGTGACTAAAAGGTCGAATATGTTATGAGTGTATGCATTGTATATGATAAGTTAACCGTTTGTATGTGCTACGTATGTTATGCTTGATATGGGCCGGAAGGCATTATGTTATGGGCCGGAAGGCATATATGTTATGGGCTGGAAGGCGTTGTGATATGGACCGTAAGGTTGACGCAGGTAGGACCGGAAGGTTTACCGAGTCGGGACGGAAGTCCCCTGAGACACAAGGACCGGAAGGTCAGGGCCTAGAAAGGCATATGTGCGTAAGTAGCATTTTGGGGAACTCACTAAGCATTTATGCTTACAGTTGTTGTGTTATGTGTTTCAGGTACTAGCGAGGACCGTAGGAAGGCGCCGGCGTGATTTGTACACACTGACAAAGGAACTGTTTTATGATCATGGGATGTATTTTGTTACAATGACATTTGTTACACATGTCATTTCAGAATATTAAATGATGGATTATGTTGTTTGGAAAA